TGCCTTGCGTTGCATAACGACTGACGGAGTTCGTTTCTCAAAAGAATTGACGCTGACCAAGTTCGTTTCTGACATCGACACTTCTCAGGTCTTGTGCTAACCTCCGCCTTCAGTGTTGCAAACATATACTCACTGTTCGTGCGAGTTGACCGGAGCTCAGGTCCTGCCTGGAGCTCACTCTACATCTCTGCGCGAGAGAAAAAAACGTGTCTCACCTCTTCTTGCTTTACATCCTGCTAACACTGCCCGCCACACACACACACACCTCCTCCCTCCCCTCCTTCTCATCCTCGTCCATCACATCATCACTTATACTACACGTCTTAGCGCAACCGCCTCATATACCTTCTCTCCTCACACTTCCTTCTTGACTTTTCATCTCACTACTCCGTCTCCCATGTGATGTTCATATACAGGTGAAATTTGTAAAACTTATCATGTGGGGTTATCCGGTCCTTTTATTGTTTTTGGGGGTGTAAGATTATCTACTTGAGCATTTGACGGGCTTTATTTTCTTGCTCATGTCATTCTTGAATAGTTTCCTTACTGAGCAGTCCATTAGTTGAGCATCTGGTTCAGTTTTATCGGTTATCTATCTTTTGCGGTTTCTCCAGAGCAAAGGTTTTTTAGTAAAGGAATAACTGAAGATTCGGCAAAGCAGCGACCCATATATCATATATGGCCATTGAATAAATAGCCCACGCGTAAAGACATCAATACATTTTAGGCGCTTTGTACATGCCAATAGGTCTCCATGCAACTGCGCACCTGAAAACATATCGAACACAGTATAGTAGATGACGTGCCACGGCTTCTGGTGCGCAATGTCATGTTTGACTGCAAGATGTTTGAGACTTGGTGCCACGTGTGTATACGGTTTTGATGAGTTTGCCTCTGCCCCCCTTAGGGTCACGTTGAAAGGTTCAATTCAGCTGTCTTAAAGCAGACCGCTTTGAGGAGATGCGGTGGTCATTGGAGAGGTTTGGAGTGCTGCAGTGCCAGACGATGACCTGAGGGCTTGTCGAGCGCTGTTGGGCAATCAGTTTGCCAATGGCTTTTCATGTGCAAAGCCTATCTTGAGCACTTGCCGCAGGAAGTTTTAGCGATTGAATGGTTTGTGAACTTCTATCCGTTTTTTTTGCGCGGTTGGCTTTCCGGTGTTTGGTTTGCTTTTGTTTTCTGATGATGTCAGGTCTGGAGTGCAAGGTGGCTGATCCTCTGCCTATGGCAACTGGACCAGAAGCTAGTGGGATTACGCGGGCATTTTCTTCAACAATTGTTGTTGTGTTGAAAACAGTTGGTTGGGGCATTGAAGTTTTGTTAGATGTTTGTGGCCATCACATGAATAGACAAGGCTCCCCAAGAAGGCCACCAGCTTCACCTGCTGTTTCGTTGCGCATTTGGAATTCCAAAAAAAGCTGCTGCAAGCGCCCCTTGGAGATCTTCAGCTCCAAAGCCATCACAAGCGCCCTGCAGAATCACACCTGCTGCAGCTGGGATTTAGAGCGTTACGCGACCTCTGTTTGATTTCTTAATTTGAGTAACCTTTACTTAAAAGTTGGTTGAGATTGCGGACTCACATTCCTACTTAAGCATATTTGTCATTCATTTTATTTAGGCGTGATATTCCTTGGGCATCTATCTGTTTTGGATGAGGAACCCAAGGCCAAGAATGATATGGGGCCATTGCGAGATGTGAGTGACCAAGATTGAAGACGAGTAGAAGGGAGACGGAGCAGAAGAAGCGCTTCAGCAGGAAGAAACACCGGAAGAAAAAGAAGAGACACCGCAGCAGAAAGAGTCAGAACAAGAAGAAGAAGAAGAAGCAGAATCAATAAGTACCAGAAGGGAACCCAGAATCACCAGAGGAGCAAACCTCACCAAAAGAGAAGGCTGAATCACCGCCCCAGGAAGATGTAGCCAGAATCACCAGAGGAGCAAACCTCACCGCAAGACAAAGCGTGTTAAGTTTCAGCTGGAACAGCATCATATAGCCAATGCGTTGGGAGCATCTTGCCAAGATGTTATGCTGTATATTTGGGGTGTCTTTGAAAAGTTCTGCGCTGTAAGCGCCTCAAGAGCAGCTGGCGGTATGGATACCTTCTGGGCAATTTTTCGATGGTCCTTCATGGCTCTGTACGAAGGCCGTGGCCTGTTGGAAATTGGCATACCTGGCTGGCAGTCCTGAGGAAAAGGGCAGGCCAGCCTCTGAGGAAACAGGGCAGGCCAGCCTCTTGCTGGAGGATACTTTGGATGCCGTGCCAAACCGCGTGGATTGTGCATCGATGCACTTGGGCTCCTGGCACGACAACAGAGTTGAGTCTCCATGCCAGGCTACTCTTTTCACACCTGCCAATTGGAGAACGCGTTGGCCCAGCGCGCGCGCACTTTTTACTGTGCCAGGCGTTTCTGCGTTGTCAGTCTCACTAGACCTCACGCATAACCTGTTTTTGGGGTGGCTGCAGCACGTGTATGGGAGTGTCCTGTGGTTGCCACGAATGTTTACAGCTGTTGCCACCTTCGTCAAAGACTAGAAGAGCGACGCTAGGAGGCAAAAGTACAGACAAAGATTGGACAAGCTCAGCATGTTTGTGAAGCAGTCTATGTACCCAAAGCTCAAGGGGAGGGCTGCAGACATCCAAGGGTTGGATTTAGCCATGCGCAAATGCTGGGTCGAGTTCATGGATGAAAGCAGTCAGCAGCATGTGCAGATTGCAGCTTTGCTTCACCCCAATGTCGATTTCGGAGAGCTGCCGGACTCTTACAGCCCAAAGAAATGCTGCCAGATGGCCCAGCTGCGCTTGCAACTTTTGTGACTTTTACAAAGCCCAAGGCGCGCAACTGTTCAACCTCACTGCCAAGACCCACTTCTGCGCCCACAGTGTACAACTCAGCAAGTTTATACATCCATCACTAGTATTAGTATGGCGCCGCAAAGGAGAAGTATGAAATGCGCGCAACGCCTTTGGAAGAGTTGTCTGTCAGGCAACAAGCATTGGAATGTAGGAGGGGTTGCTGCCTTGAAGTTTCGCCGCCAGCTCCATTTGAAGAGTTGAAAAATGTGACTCGCTGTGAGTTTTTTTGGAGGGCTTTTGGCTTCGTGTTTCATAGTACACAGGCAACATGTTCCAAGGAAAGGTTTTCAACCATTCAGTGGTCATTGTATTGTTGCTAGCTGGTTCCTAACCTGAGCACTTCATTTATTGCGAGTTGTTGCATTTCTTGTGGGAAGTTCCAGGAGTACCTTTGTATGTTTACTTGAACACCTTTCCAATGTTCTTCTGAATGCTGTGGCGTGTTCAAACTTTTTGGGTTTCCCTGTGATTTGTTTCGATCATACTTGAGCATCTGGTAAATGTTCTTCTGCAAACGGTTGCGTGCTTTTAAATTTAGCTACGCATTTCTTACGCTGTTTTTGCGCCCTTTTGACACCTAAATTAAATTAGAACATCGCGGTTTACGCAAACTTGGGACCTAAATTTTTCAGTTTACGTAAAGTCATTGAGTGTATAAATATATTAATTTCGAAGACTTCGGTAGAACTAGGAAACGATCGCGTCAAGGTACGCAGGAGTAGGTTTGCTCTGGCTTGGTTTGGTTGGCGCCCAGCAGGTCTTCACTTTCCACGCGCGACGGAAGATTCAAAGTGTTTGTTTTGTGGATCGCTGAGCGTTTGAGATGATCCAAGCCATGGAACCGGGGGCGCGTGAACCTTGTGGCCTGGAAACCAAGGCTTGTTCTGGCGCGCTGGTGTAAGTGATCTCGCCACTTCGTTTTTTTTGAGGATTGCGAAGGGCTTTTCTGTAGAAATCCTTTGTGCCACGCGTCTGAAGCAATACATTTGGGAGCTGTCTTTCTGGCCTTTTTTTGGGTATGCGTGCTATAAGCCACATCTGGAGCTTGCGTGCGTACCAGACATCTGGGTCGTATACCGCTGTATTTTTGCGTACGCTAAGCTGCGTTTGCGGCTTGTACGGAGTTGCAGTTGTATGTATGCTACAATAGGTATGCTTTAAGTACATCTGCAGCTTGCAGGTATGGTTGTGTAGATCTGCTGCTGCCCTAGCGTTGCCTTGGTGCTGGGATCTTGCTGTGGTGAATTGCTTTGGTGGCTTGCTTTGGTGCTGGGATCTTGCTTGGGTAAAATTTGCGGGTATCTTGCTTAAGTTTAAATAACGTCATTTGCAACGTCAAGCATAACTTTCGCCGGGGTCTTACTTCAGTGTAGCCACGTGCAAAATTTAAATTACTTTCGCTGGGGTCTTGCTTCAGTAAACACATATGCAAAAGTAAACTTTATATTTGTGGCATAAAACGTATGTTTGTTCGCGCGTGCATGACATACTCTTCTTTCTTAGCTGGGGGCCTGGCCGGACAGGGCTTGCGAAACGTGACTCTCTGCGGAGATGGCGCGTGTGGAGGGCTCAAGCGCATGGTGAAATGCGAATTCTGGTTTGGCTCGAGGCAACCCTCTGCGGAGATCGTGCGTGTCGAGTGCTCAAAAGTGAGGCGAAGTGTGAATTTGGTTGTCGAAGTGTGTAATTGTCGTTGAAGTTGACGGTGGCAGCAAAAGTGCTCCACTGATTGGAGCGTCAAGTGGCAGCAGCAAAGGACATTTGCTGAGCCACATTATAGCAATGATAGCAACAAATCAATTTGGTCTCTGGAATAACCACTGTTCAAGCCAACGTGCAGCTAAATTTGCTGAGTTGTGGGTGGCAAAGTTCGTTTCTGGTGCAATTGACAGCAGGAGCAATTCAATCAATCTCTTTCCGCAGGCTCCACCTGCCTGATAAGATGTTTTTCCCAAAGAAACAACAGTGAAAGGCTGCGTGGATATTTGGTGGGCATGCAGCCTCATGTTTGGTTGATGACGCTTCTTTGAGCGGTTTGACGGGTTTGGCTGATCATAATTTCACTGATTACCCCGCAAAGCCGTACGACTTGTTGTGACACCTTTGGCTTTGCTGATGTGATGTGAAGTTCATTCAGCCTTGCAGGATATTTCTGGTCCACATTTCGATTCAAATTGCATTACTCCAGGCTGGTCAATTGGGTATATCTTGCCGTTGTTCCAATTTTTTCAAAGATAGCGTTCGATGTGTTTTTCACGCAAAAATCTCGTTTTGGAAAAAAACAAAGTCAGGGTTTGCGTTTTGCATTGCTTTGTGCTAGCTTGCCTTGCAGAAAGCGTTTGTGAGATCTGATAGTCCCATACACCATCTGAAGGTCCCCTTGAGTCATCTCAGGTACGGAGTTCATGGCCAAGCTGACTGAACACTTGCGATTCTTTATTTGCAAGAAGATTCAGGACGGTTTTCAGCGGGAAACAGCAGAGAAAAGTAGTCAGGCAAATGTACACGAGCCGAATATGCGTCGAACACAATGCGGTTTGTATAGACTATAGATGTGGAATCATGACGTCAGGAGCAGGGTTTTACCTAGCGTTAGGGGGCAAAGGCAACTGGGCAGTCAAATAAACCGACTTGCGGTTGCAAGTTTCAGTTTGGCCTGCTCAGAGGTGCCTGGCGGTCCTTCAGACGAAAGAAGGGTCCGATAGCACCGGAGGGCAATCCGAGGTTTGCCTAACAACTGCCCTCCCATCACATTGGCACAGATAAGAGCGCAGATACAACAAACGGGGGAATGCCGTCGACAGCTGTGAACCGAACTGCGGAGCACAAAGGCTGTCCCATCGAATGAACAGGCATGTGGTCTCCTCTTATTTTTTTAAGTTTGGTTCACGAGCACATGCACGTGGGGACCTTTCCGCCAGTAGGCGCACTAGACAACCCACACCCAATTGCTAGTGAATCCCCTCTGACTTGAGCCTGTGCCCACTTTGAACGTGATTGAGTTCGGTTTGACAGCTAGCTGCTAGCTAGAATACAATCGCCGTAATCATGATACCTTGAAGCAGAAAGAGGAATCCTATTCTGGAAGAGGTGCTGGGTGAATGTGAGAATTTGAGGAGGATCCAGCCTGGCAAAGCTTTACAGTGGTCCTTTCGGGCCCTGAGACTGCGGGCGAAGGTGAGCATAAGATCATGGATTACATACGCAAAGCCAAGGCGCAGTTGTGTGTGAGACTTTGAGTTCCGCTGTTGGGTCATTGTTATGCCTTGTTATCAACATTTCATGGTGATTATATAATTTTTTGATCCTTACCCCCTTACCCATGGATTTGAGGGGGGTCGTCAAAAATGTAACTTACACTTTCTGGGGCCCCCCTAGGGGTCTTTTATATTGTAAGTTACCCCCCCTTAACGTCCTTTTTTTTTTGGGGGGGGGTGCTCACACATGTAACTTAGGATGTGGGAGGCCTGTAGTTACATTTATCAACCCCCCCAAACCACTCACTTTGGGGTGGGGGGGTGGATAAATGTAACTTACTGCTTTAGAAGGCGGGGGGTTAAAAAATATAACTTACTGCCTCCGACGTGTGTGGTTTCATTTTCGACCCCCCCCATCAAATACTTGCAGTGTGGCACCTGTGTTAGAATTCTCTGTCCAAGATAGCATTCCCATTTCTGCTTTGACATGTTGAGAAATACCATACTATTCAATGAAGCCTCAAACATGTAACTTACATTCTTGGAAAAGTGTAAGTTACATTTTTGAGGCCTATGGGATGTCTGACCAATTGAGAGGCCTCAAAATTGTAAGTTACAATTTTTCAGGTGATTTGGTATTTGTAAGTTGCGCTTTTTCAGGTATCAAACCTAGGAAATTGTAATTTACAATTAATTCAGGTGCGCTTGCGCGGAAGAAAAACCTCCACCACCCCGCACTGGCAGCTTACGCGCAGCTTGTGACTGCAAACTCACAGCTATTGCAAACATCTTTCAAAAAATGTGCTTGCATGGGCTTGCGTGACACACGCACCTGACAGCCTTATGACATATATATATATATATTTATAACTGATTCATCTCATGAGTACAAAAGGGCTGACCCTTGCTCCTGTTGCACTTCTGCCAACATTTGGCTGAGTAAGCCCCGGCCACTAAATCTAATCAAATCTGACCCGCCCCTTGAATATTTCGGACACAATGAAACCAAAGCGGGGCCACACGAAGTAAAAGCGGAGCAATCCAAAGAAAAACCAACCATGCAAAGGCAAACAAAAAATATCCCTACCGATTACCTAGGCATCGCAAGTGGACGGTTCCCAAATGGGGACCACACCTGCACTTTGGCATCGCCAGCTGCAGAGGTCCAAAGAATACCTCTCTCGCAACGTCAACACTGCACTGGCAATTTGCCTCCAGCTCCGGTGGTGTAGTTTGAAGTGTTTGCAGCTGTTAACAGTCCGTAGCTGAGTGCTTTGAGTACTAAGCCAAGTCGTGAATCTTCGAAGGAAACGTTGCTTCTTGGTTCAAGTAATGTCATGTATCATCTACCATGTCTTTGTAGGTGTGCCCTTTCTTTGGCTTTTGAGGGTCTGATAACCCCAAGAAAGGCGCTTCTTATAGCGAGATCGAGAACTGGATAACTAGAGTATATATACACATAGTTCTATTTTTTGGCGGTTGTTGGCTGGTCCTGGCTTTCGTTTTGTCGTTTCTGAGGTGTTGCTTTGTCCGTTGAGTCTGTTGAGCTCCCCTCGTGTTCTGGGATCAAGGCTCTGCCTGTTGTGCTTGTTGTTGGTTGTTGGAACTCCCCTGGATGCTTCCACGGTCAATGCTCCGCTACTATGAAAAATGCGAAGTGTTGTACACACGCCCTTTGTACTGCAGGGACTTGAGCTGGAGGGCCCTATTGGTGCCAGCCGTCTCACAGGTAGTGTTGGAGACTGTCGCTTGACATTTGTACAGAACAGAGCCACTCCAATCTGCGCTTGTTGTTCTTTGTCTTCTTGAAGCGAGGCTTCTACCATGTACTTCTCACATGTTCTTTTCTCACATGTTTTTGCCGCTGAATGTTGGGAGGTACAGGCGTTCTTGCCTCCCTGGTTCTTACTTCTGAACCAGGCCGTGATCGAAACTTTTTGCCATGAACTCTGGAACCAGACTCTGTTCCAGACTCTGTTTCCAGCTGTTCGCCTGCAAACCTGAAAGCCTGGAGTTTGGAGCTAGACTTAATCGCTCGTGCATATAGCTTCAATTGACACAATTTCCATGAATGCATGGTGATTTCAAAAACAGACTGACTTCGCTTCCGGCTTGCGACCATTCTGCTAGCAACCTCTCTGCTGCCAATACTCCAACTTGCATGGAATGAACGTTAGGACCACTGACTTGTTTGTGTGACTTCTCTTGAGCTTGCTCGCCTGAACCCATTCAAGCATCGCCTTATTCTTAGATACACAGTCGGAAACTATGCTCCTTTTAACACAACCAATCAAACTCGTCGGGAAAAATGTGTCTGTGTCTATTTGATATCTCTCTGTTGAGCAACTGATTGCGCATATTCGCACATGGTGTGCGGAGTGACACAGGCCCAGCCAGATCATGATCCGAACACAAGGCGGGGTTCTTCGAAAATGCTTGCTTCGAGAGGCTTTGGAAGAAACACCATAATGTGAACTGTAAAGTGCATCAGTGCACATATGAGGAGATACTGTTGGGTTAAATGATGCGGCCAAGACCTGATTGACACATGCTTCAGAAGAGATTGTTCTGACGTTATTTATGTGTTTGAGGGACACAACATCCATTTTGCCTACAGCTAGCAGTGGTGCTGTTTCCTGCCCTTCCAGGCATTGCCTCTACGGCCTTGACGCCGACTTGATCATGCTCTCGTTAGCGTCCCACGAGCCGCACTTTGCTCTTCTTCGGGAGGAGGCGCCCGACAAGATCAACATCAGCCGCTTTTTTCTCAGCTTGCTTCCTGCAGCAATCCGCGAGTGCACAGCTGCAGCTTTGTGAGTGCATTGTTTTGGTTTCCGTCGAGTTTCATTGCGACTGCAATTAAAAGAGGGGAGTTTTGTATACAGTGGAGAGCATTGTGTCTTTATATAGTTTGCCCTGCCTGGCCTTGCCTGGCCCTGCCCCTCCAGGTTGTGTTTGGCCGCCGGGAGACGAAAACCACAGATCAGCGCATGCTGATTGCAAAAGATCGCTTCCAGCTGTTGCATGTGTCCCTTCTTAGAAGCTCGGTGACCAGATGGTAGTCTGAATTGAAAGCCGAGCAGACACCAAGCAAATTCTGTATACACACATATACACACATATCATAATATACATATATACATGATATAATACAATGTACAGTACATATATGTACATATGACATACAACAATTTCTCATTAATTACTTGCTTGAAATCCAATGAGCTGCAATGTCAGGAGAGTACTTGGATATTGAGTTTGCACCGCAGATTGAGCCAAAGTTTCACAACCTGGAGCGAATCATCGATGACTTCATCCTTTTCTGTGTCCTCGTAGGGAATGACTTCTTGCCGTGTTTGCCTTTTGCTGAGATTGGACAGCATGGCTTGGAGGATCTATTTCGAGTGTACAAGGACCACTTGGCCTCAAGTTCTGCAAGTTCAAGCTTTTGGCTTACAAAAAACTGTGGGGAGGTTGACTTCAAGCAGCACCTGGGCTTGAGCACAAGCCTTTTTCAAATGGTGGTTGGAGCAGCCCAGAAGGATAGGTATACATACTTTGGCAATTTTTGGTGTGTTCGTCCAGTTTTTTCAGGTTCTCGAAGTTTTTGAAGAAGTATGGGGAGCTGGAAGACGGGCATTTACAGTCGGCTTGTGATGAGCAAGAATTCACACTTGGAAAGCAACGGCTGGTGGGTCTGGAAGAAGCACCTGCGCCAAAGGAATACGCACCAGACTTACCAATTGAGCCGCCACCCACTTCTGAGATGGCAAGAGAGCAATGGTATGAGGTCAAATTTGCCATGGATGTGAATGACTATGAAGGGACACAGTCGCTCGATAGCATTCAGGGAGATATGCTTTGACCTTCATCCTTACATTACCCCGAAAACTTCGAGCACTTAGGTCTTGGCCTTTTCAATTGAAACTTAACCTAGTAGGCAAAGCAACCCATTTGTTCCCCAAACAGTGTGGACACAATGGTTCTTACGGTGGGTGCTCACCGGTGTGCGCGGCCAATTCGATGCTATTTACAACGGAGATCGGAGCGGTTTTACTTCGATGTGCAGTTTCGTGGGAGGTGGAGCGCTTTGGACTTGGTGGTGGTGTTTGGGGTGCTCTGATTTTGTGGCAGGTGCAGTGACATGTGGCTTGTTTTCACAATCTAGGGAAAGTATAGTGCGAAAACTGCGTTTTGGCATATCGGTCTTGCCTTTGGAAGTGCTTTTGTCGCGAAACGCACTGGCAGAGCTGCGCGATGTGAGCCTTGATATGCAGATTGCGTGGTGTGGCAGGTGCAACGTTTTGTGATCCTTCATTTGTAGATTTCGTGGCAGGTGCAGCAGATTTTGTGGCAGGCGCAGCGCTTTGCGAACGTGCCTGAGCAGATTCCGTGTCAGGCGCGCGGCTTGTGAACGTGCGTGTTCACACTTCGTGGCAGGCGCGGTGCTTTGTAACCTCGAAGTGCAGATTTTGTGGCAAGCGCCGCTTTTAAAGCCCGGAAATGCAGATTTCATGGCAGGCACAGCAATCATGTGTGCTCCTCTCTCATGTGCTATGTGTCATCTCGCACGTGTCGCTCTCACCTGTGTGCTCTCGTCTGCTTGCTCACCTGTGTGTGTTGTGCAAAACACGTGTTTTTCTTTTCGGTGTGCTTTCATGTGTTTGCTCTATTTCATTGCTCTGACAGGTGTGCTCTCTCATATATGGGCTGTGGTCCTGTGCTCTCATATCTGTGTCTCATATGTTTGCTCACATATATGCGTGCTTTTACCCGTATGTGGAAACTGTGTGCTTTAAAGTGCGGAAGTTGGCTTATTCACCCTTTCTTCCACTACTTAACACTGTTTTGGGCCTCTCGCCGGGATTATACTAAAATGTGGTGAAAGTCGTCCGGGTGCGATTCGTATTTCTTTCGGAAAAGTGAGGAGCCATGACGTTCGTTTTCATAGCTACGAGTCGTTTTTTTGCCATTCCCCGACGATGTTGACTTTGGTGACAATGACACAACAAACGGCTCATGAAAACTTTCCTGTCAGCTTGGCCTGCAATCTTAGGAAACAACGGAAATTATTTCAGTCCTACTTAGAGGGGTTGCATTGGGTCATGCGCTACTACTTTCGTGGCCCAGATCATGCTTCTTGGAGTTGGTACTACCCTTTCTATCACGCTCCAATGGCTTTTGACCTGGCAAACTATGACAATCTGTCGAACCCTGAGATTTCCTTGCAGGTAGGAATGCCCTTCAAGCCTTTCCAACAACTCATGGCTGTGTTGCCTTCTAGTTCCAAGACTCTGCTGCCTAGCTGTTACCAGTGGCTCTTTGACTCACACTCCCCCGTGGCTAACTTCTATCCCGAGAAGTTTGTGGTGGACATGGACGGTGTCAAAGTTCCATGGGGTGGCATGACATTGAGCCTCGGCACTGTTGACACGGGTGATTTCCACACAGTTCTGAAGCCTTCCAAAAGTGTTGACTTTGTCTATTAGGACTTATTCAGCGAGTTGGCGTTATTCTTTTCTGCCAAGGATTCCTTTCATCGATCCAGAGAGGTTATTGTTGGCCATGGAGCAGGCCTTCAATCAAGGCCCTCCGCTGAGCAGCGAAGAGAAGAAACGCGACGAGTTCCGCATGGCCAAGTCCTTCCAGTTTCCCAGCTGAAAGCAGAATCTCCGGAGGTCGACCCAGCAGAGGTTTCTGTAGTAAATTCTTTAAGCAGGTGGTCCCTATGTCGCAAAGATAGACCTGGACAGACACTTGGTGACGGGAATCAAAGTCAAGGGTCGGAATCTGTGAGACTGGGCGGTATCGTTGACACCTCTCTGCATTCTGAAGGTATGACATGAAAGCTGGAGTTTTTGTGAAGAGCACAGTGCCTCGCAAGTATGGTGACATTCAGAGATGCCCTGTGAGGACCGGGGCAAAGTAACGGGTCTTATCGATCATTAAACCCATTCTTTCGGTGCATAGTTCGGATCCTGCTGTATCCTTCAATGCAAGGTACTTCTTTCTCGTCACAGTTTAGACCAGTTTCCCACACTCTCAGCTTGTTGACAACATTTCAGTGAACTTGGTGAAGGAGACTACTCAGTCACTGAGTATCTAAGTTGCAGTCGCGCGCTTGCAGGATTAATGAATTTCAGCATCTTGCCCTTCCCGGCGAACACTTCCCCAACTACCTGCTGTCTGGCGTACGGACTAAGGACAGCTCGACCTCACTTGCTTCAAACATCTAAAGTTTAAAGCCTTAGTGTAGTTGTAAAGCCACTTAAGTGTATTTGCGTATATACAGTGTTCCGCATTCTGCGTTCTTGGTAGCCACTCTTCTATTCTTGAGATTGAAGACGGAAGGCGTTCCAGATCAAAGCCGCTAAACGGCGGAGGTAAGCTGAACAATAACAGCTTGTTTCTTGAGTAGTTTCGCACAGTCAGTCAGGGCTTTGCATGCGCTTTGCAGTTCTTTGTGTTTTGCAGACACGATCGTCAAGGAGATGGGCTTCCCCACGTTGCATGAGATTCCGTTCACGACCTCCTTCCAGGCTTTGGGGACTGGCTGTGGACTAGCTGACTAGCTTTTAGGCTTAGGCAGGACAACTGTCTAGGTGTAGGGGTTGCCCATTGGGACGGCTAGAGGGCGCCTCGCCTTAGCTCTGCGCGTGCACAAAGCTGCTCATGGATGGCGGTTTACGCCGACTACCGCCGAAGCTTTGAAGGAGGGGCCTGAAGGTTGGAGGAAAGTGTCACGATGCTTTCCCAGTGCTTGACGCGAGAGCATGGAAGGCCCATTGTTTTGACACCACCAAGTGAATGTGGCTGAGCGTGGACACTCTGGGCAGGTGAGCCTGTCGGGGTGGCGCCTGTTTGGTAGCGCTTCGGCGCGTCTCGGATGTTGGTGCCACGCTACGGTTGGGTGGTTTGCTTTGTCAGCGGTGGTGGCACAGTCATGGCGCAGTGGATTGGGTCTGCTGCAGACTACTTGGTGATTGGAGCGACGGTCTGCTGGCTGCAAGCGCGTTGGCACTCTGGAGACAGCAGAGCTGCTCACAGCTGGCATGTCTAAGCTCGTGAGCACAGAACAGCCAGCAGCCCTGTAGAGATTGTGAAGAGCTCCTTTACCAGAGTGTCCAAGGTCTCGAGCAGCCCCAGCTGGACAGAGACTTGTGGCCGAAGCCGAACGCGTGGGAAATGCGCCGAACATAGAGCGGCCTGACCAAGAGCATTACTTCCAATATTACAGCCAGTGGCGCAGACATGCACAGCGCGTTCTGAACCCTCAGCAGTTTTTCAAGCCGGCTCGGACGTCCAACTGGTCAAGGGAGGTGGACGGTGGTCCTCTTGTCAGCGTCGAGAAAATGGTGGCTGTGGGGACCAACCATGGGGAGAGATGAGGTGGTCGTCGAGCGCAGGCTTGCAAGGCCACGGTGCGGTCTAAAATGGGGCAGGAACATTGCCAAGGCGTTTCGCCGCCAAAAAAGCGGGAGCGTGGCAAACCGCAGCAAGGAACGCTGAAGGTGGAACTCAAACATGTGTGAACTTTGGGACCAGGCAGGACTATAGCTGTCTAGCCCGCCCAAACCAGATGAAGCTGACCAAAAGGGATTGGGAACAGGATAACGGTGTGCTTAGCAACATGGCAAAGCGCAACAAAGCACACAAAAGGAGACTTTTGTCGTCAGGGCAAGCAGATAAACTGATCATAAAATCAAGTTATGGTTTGTGCACAGTCGTGGACACAAAGTGCAAAAACTTGCTCAGTGGCTTCATGTCGAGGAACTATATAATCCAACGCAATGAGTGCAACTTTTGTTTGCAACGTTTTGGAGAGATTGCTTGTTCAGGAGAGTGTGTCGGAGTAAACTTGTTGAAGCAGAGTGACGTTGTTACGGTCTTAGAAACAACAACCGCAGGTTGCGGCGGTTGCGGAGGTTTTTGCAACCACAAATTGTGAAGGTCATCTTGGGACTTGTTAGCAAGTGCAAGCCATGATATGTCAGCCGTTTTTTGCAATGTGCAAGTCACCTAGGAAACCCTGGTGGGCAGGAAGTGAAACTATGTACTGTATTGTGGTCATACGAGATTCACATTAGGATGGGTGCCGGTTGTGCGCCCCAGCCGCCCCAGGGATTTAACAAAGATAGCGAAAAGCCCGATACTAAAGGACCCTTCTATTTTGTGCTCAGGCCCATGTGAGGGAACATTTTTTTAACATTAAGATGTCAACTTGAACAAAAGGTGGTATAGGGTTCATGTCAAACAAATCGGATTGGTATGCCTCTTTGATGCCATGTCTTGTACGTATATAAGCGTTGATTTTTTTACAGTATATATAGATTTGTCCAAGTTCCACAGTCGCAATGCAGAACCCACGACTTTTCAACATATTTTCCTGGTGTACATTCATCATTGCCTTACTCATGTTCAGGCAGCGCAGTGGTCCACCCCTAGGTGTTTTTTCGTCACCTGGTCAGGTCGGCGTGAAGGTGTTCCAATTCGAGGCCAAAGGACTTTCCATGTACTTGCACTTGCGGCCCACGTCCCCTTTCGAGCCCACTGAGGAGGCCAGGGCTGAGCGTGTAATTTGGGTTCTGCTATCCAAAAACCTAGGGATCTGACAGCGTGAAGTAGTGGAAAGACAAGCAAAGGACGATGGAATTTTGGATTGCCATGGTTTGCAAGCATCATGCTTCCTCACTCTCAGAACGTTAAAGTTCCATGAAGGCCATCAGAGCGAGAATGCGATCCCTTGCGATCATTGACTACCCCTGCATGCACAGAGGCGGACGATACATATATATAGATTTACATGTTCCTACGGTGGTTCTTCGAGATTGCCCACACGTCATGTTGGAGAATGATGTCACTTTCAGCGAAACATTCTGGATGTGGAGTGGAGCTTCAAGTCCAAAAGTATGATGCAGCTTTCCTGCAAGCACTTGCTGTCAGGGAAAATCATTGCTCTGCATACACCTTATGCAAAGTATTTGCATGACGGTGCTCAAGTGGAGAACAATCCTTTTGAGCATGAGAAGAGGGTTTGGTCCCGAGCCTTGCGGACATTTCTATGGCATGCCAACACAGTTTTTGTCACCACCGTTTATATGTTGCGGCTTTCGATTGCCAAACATGTTCCACGAATGGTGCAATAGTGTGTGAAACTCACCGTTGAGGTCTGGAACCTTCTGCAGGAGGGCGCGAAGTCAAGTCGCACTCACTTCAAAGAAAGTAAAACGTGAATGGCTCCTTTATTGTCAGCAGAGCATGGTCCCTCTTTTGTTCATTCTATTCAAGCCGTGCGTATGCTTGCATTAATTGTGGCGGAGGGATAGACTTGTGCCTCATGAAACTCTGAGCACTACGAGAATCCGTTGTCCGGCTTTGCGTGGAAGCCAGGAGTACAGGAAGCGTGGACTCACTGTAGAGTTTGACAGCAGTGCGATAGCTGTCGGCACGGCGCCCAGACCATCCGTTTCTCTGCGCAGCGCAACTTGTGGCCACATGTTTGGTTGGATGCTCATGGACGCAGGACAGGCTGAGTCAGCAATTTTAGCCCAAATGACATCGTGCAGGGTGTGCATGTCAGTACGTCTCAGTTTCTCCATTATTCCACGCTGTTTGCTATTCACAAGTCCTTGCTCGTTCCTAGCTCGTACATAGCAGCCTCATCACTAGAGTTGAATTGCTCTCTAGTGACCTTAATTGTAGCTGGCGAGAGCAACTAGTCGTACCAAGTCATACTCCTTATTCTTGTGGCGCCTAAGGGTCCAAGGCAAGTAACTCTTCAGTTGCTTACAGCGTGTAGTCTTGTTCACGGCTTGCCCTCCATGCTTGCCAGATGAAACGTCTGCGGGTCGAATGTGGCGAGGCAAAGCAGGTGCGGAGTGCTAGTCCAAGACCAGTTTAGGATCCGGCAGTAGCCCAACGTTGGAATTACTGGCGATCGAGCAAGTGCAACAGTTCCGTTCCAAGGGTCTGTTTCTAAGCAACAACTTTCTTGGGTGTACCCCCCCATTCAACCTGGTGAACTCCATCTTTGTCAAGAGTGTAAGAGGCTGCAACATATGCAGATGCTTTCGGGCATTTCAGCAAGGTTGGATTGCGTGCCTACCGAATTGCAGGCGATCTTTCCGAGAACGAGTTGTGCCAGCAGCCTCTGGTTGAGGCCCCATGAATTTGTGATAATTTATGGCTCGAGTAAAACATACATTTTTCTCGCTGGGCCCTCGCTTGAAATTTGACTCTCTATATATGAAGAGTCCGTAGACCCCGAGCAGCCCCGGCATCTTTTCCAGCCGCGTGCAGCAGGCTCCCATGGCCTCGCAGTGCATACGGCCCCTTAGGATGGAGCCCGCAGTGGGGTAGGATTGGGATCAACAGTTCTCCGAACATCGTGCTGGGTTTGACAGCTCCCAAGCTTATCCTTGTGATCCCAATCCGTGGTAGTAGGGTATCGCCCGAATCGGGCATTCCTTCGTACACTCCTGCAAAACAAAGAACACATGAATAACCAATCCAAGTGAAACACAAAAGTACGTAGGCGCGTCAAACGTGCCTGAACGTCATCGGACCGGGTAAACGGTCAGAGCAAACAGCGTTACAGATCAAGCGAACCGCAAGAAGCAACCCAGATAAACAACAAAGTGGGGAGGAGTTGGTAACAAGGGGGCCCGCAGCCAACGGCGCCCCAGCGCCCACAGCTCAGCCCCACCCCAAAACTGTCAGCAGAGCTGGAAGAGGGGGGAGAGGAGAGGAGGGACCCCGGCAAGTCTCACTCCCACCTTACCGTTGTGGACGTCCCGCCCCATGGCGTTCACTGGTGCCGGGGTGGCCCTGCTGCACGCATTTAGGCAACAGTGTCTTGTCCCTTTTTGGAGACACTGCGGGTTGCAGCAGCTAACAGGAGGAGCCAAGGGGGGCACTTCCGAACCTGCGGTACGGTACCCTGCAACTTCGGTTTTGGGGCCCGGAGGGTAGGAGTCCCCGACGGGGCTGTCGGCCTTGCAAGCCGGCAGCCCCTGGCTTGGTTGCGCAGGACCACCAAAAGACACAACGACCTTGTTTCCCCGTAGGTAACCGGCCGACTTTTCACGACTGGTTCGGGACTTGCCACGCATATCGAACTTAGCCACCCAGAAGGAACTTTTTGCGAAAATGGTCGAAAGTCTGTACGCTGTGCCCATGCGTGTTTCAGCGCCTAAGTGCCTTGACTTCTCACCATAATGTTGCCGAAATCTGCCCTCGCTGTAAGAGTGTCTTTCCCGGTAGACCCATTATGTTACGTCACCTCGCTCAAGACCACCCTGTCGACCGTTTCCGTTTTCCTCTTACGTGTCCTCTCTGTGTTCAACTTGGTCGTCCCCTGCCCGAATTTTGCGCTACTCCCCTTACTTTTATATAAACGTCGCCGGACAGCTTTCCATATGCGCGACTTCCCGGTAGCTGTTTTTCGTGCTCAATGAGCTGTAGTCTTGCCTGTCTGTGCTTAGTGCTGCTGCCATGCCTGGCCCTGATCGGGATCGTGCTCGCGACCGAGACAATGTCGTCGGCCGGTCAGAGTTCGATCGCCTCCAAAAAGGGCCATGATCTGCTGGCTGCCCAAGTGGAACGCGTTGCTGCTGTCGCTATGCGCGCTGCCAGTGATGCAGGGGAGGCCCGCGCAGACTTACAGTTGGTATCTTACAGGGCCGCAGCCGGGCCAGAGTTGTGGAGACGATGCCAAGTACAATGGTGACAAGCCAGGGGTGCAGGACGGTACCAAAGAAAAAGGCGCTCTCAAATGCCGTGCCCACCCCACCAAGACTTCCCCGCTGGACCAGCGGCCCTTCGCAGCATCGGCAACCTGGGGAAACCTCGGTCATCTTGCCTGTTCAGTTCTGTGGCTCTGCGTCGGGTCGCCGTCTTCGTGAACTGTGGGCTGATGCTCGATTGTCGTGCGTCTTCACCAAAGGCCCTGCAGGTTGGCCGGACTTGGGTGCAAGCCTGGCAGGTTTCGACCGTCCCGGGCCACTGTAAAGGCGGCAGTAGGGGTAAAACCCAAAGGGTCTGTCCGAAACGCTCTGCCTCCGACGGGGCTGGCGCCAGCCGGTCCTGTCGCCGTTAGCTTTGCTGCTTGGCTTCTTTACGCCTTTTTGTGGCGCGCTCCGGTCTTGCCCACATCCCTTACCCTGGTGGTTCTGGTCTTGTCCGGGCCGAACTCTGCTGTGCCCTGCTGTGCCGCCTGCCCTTGCAATCGCCGCCGTTGCCTGCTGGTTGCCTCTCGCGCCCTTTTGCTGTTTTACCCCGCGCGTCTCCGTCCTCTTTGCCCTTTTGGTTTGCTTCTTATGTTTTGCGTTTGCTGTCTCCTTCTCTCGCTAGGTCTGGATGCCTGCTCTGTCTACTTTCCCCCTCTCTCCCCCCCCGCCCGTCGTTCGTTGGTACCTTCTTCTGAAGTTTTGGTCAGTTTTGTTTCCATTTGTCGGTCCGTGTACAGTGCAAGGTGTCGAATGTGCTGTGGCCGGACGTTCGTTCCTTGCGAGGTTCCGATGGATGGATGGTGGACTCTAACTCCTGCAGAGGAGATGAAGAGTCGTGCGCAGAGAGGAGGGAGACAAACAAACAACAAAAACAGAGGGAACCCAACAAAAACAACCCAAAAGCAGCAACCCGAAACCCCACAGACAGCATCAACCGGGACGATCGGCGAGGAAGGCGCAAGAAACCACCAAGGCAAAGGGCAAACCAGCCACGAAACCGCAACGACAGCAAGGACAGCAGGCAGAGGCTTGAGGGACGGGAAGTGGATTTCCAGGAAGTCCATGCTGTGGCCAAGTCCTTTTTGACCGCCCCCCTTGCAGAACACGAGCGAGCGTTGAGCTGTAGCACTTCCGACACGATGCGCTGTCTGGAGAGCAAGGCGTAGACGGGCCCAGGCTTTGCATGTTCCCAACTGAGGAAACCGTCGTGAGTCGTAGCGTAGCGTGCAAGTTCATCGGAGGCACGGGAGAGCTCCGCAGCGCGCCCCTTAGCCGTGGTCGGGACAGGGGCCTTTTGTATGGCAGCCAGTTCAGCGTCTCGCACTGGCGCTGCAGACCTGGGAACGGGTGGAAACGGGCTAAGCCAGCCATACGAGTTGCGCGCTTCCAGGGGACGCCGCCATCTTCGTTAGCGAGCTGCATCCAACCGGCCGCCAGTGGAATGCCAGCAACTTTATGACTGTGGGCAAACGCATCACACAGCCTCTTGCCGCCCTGGAGGCCGGGGTCTCGGTGCACCCCCACATCTTGGGGGAAGGAGAGCAAGGCTTGTTGGGGTAACCGGTCATTGGGCACGCAGCCTGGCAATTAAGGACATAATGGATGTACCCCGAGAAAACTGCGGATTTGTTCATTGGAGATACCTTTGGTCTGTTGATCCCACCGGCTGACCCGGCAAATCTTACGGAGACAACGCTTCCAAGCGGAGGCGCATCCGAAACCATACCGTCCAAGTTTCACATGCATACAGAAGGACCGAGAGGACACAGGCGCGGTAAACGCGGAGCTCAGTCGCAAGTGACAGCTGACGGACATCCCAAACAGAGGAAGCAAGCTTCCAAAAAGACTTCCGCGCTTGATCCAACCGATACGTGATCTCAGGAGTACAGGTAAATTGCCAATCAATGTGGCTGCCTAGGTAGCGGAAAGCAACGAAAACAACTGGCGGATCAGAGGTGGGAAGATCCTCAAGTGGGCCAGTGTGGTGGGACAATGAAGCTAGTGTGGTGGGCCAGACCATCAGCGTACCCGAGTTCCTGGAACGGCCAAGCTTCGTGAATGGCGTACTTGGAGAGGTCGCCCCAGCGGCAACCCTGGCCGTTTTGTGGGAGTAATGACGACGAATAAGGTGCATCAGGTCCGGAGGCACCCCTTTGGCCTTGAGCGCATTCCACAAGCCCTGGCGCGAGACCGAGTCGTAAGCTTTAATAAGGTCCACAAGCAAAAGAAAGAGTGGAACTTTCCGATGGTTAGCCCTTTCCAAAATCATCCGGATAGTAAAGATCATGTCAATGGTAGAGCGGCCCGCCCGAAAGCCACACTGCCATTCCGGGAGCAGGCCATGACCCTCCGCATAATCTTGCAGGCGTGACGCAATGACACGGGCAAACAGTTTAGCAGGAACGGACAACCGCATGATACCTTGCCAGTTGGAACAGGCAGCCAGATCGCCAGAGTTAGGCAAAAAGGCGCAATGTAGCCCGCTTGCCACGACAGCGGGAGGTCCACAGCCCGAAGCTAGATTTGTGCTACATGCTCGTGGAAACCCCTCAAGTTCGGAAGAGTGAGGCGGCGGAAGACGTCGCCGGGCAACCCATCCGGACCACAGGCTTTGCGGGGCTTTAGCCGACGTACCGCGGCTAACGTTTCAGCAAAAGAAGGGACAGAAGCAAGGCCGATGTTGAGCAGCTCGGCAAAGTACTTACACCAGCGGGACAGACGACCAGACTTAGTACGAACCCACTCTCCAGCAGCCTTACGAAGTTTGGGCGACGGACGATGACCGGAGGCAAGCGTGGACCGAAGTTCGCGGAAGCCGGCGTACTGAGACTGAGGTTCTTTGGCATCAACCAACGCTTGAATGGAGCTAGCCTTGGTTGCCCACCACTTGTTTAAGAGAGCGGCGACCGCGCGTTTACAGGAGGCTTTAGCGCCACCCTGCGCCCAAGCCAAGAATGCAGCGGCGCGGACGCGGCTGATTTGTTCAAGCTTCCACTCCGGCCGGCAGAGAGGAGCGAAAGCCGACAAAATGCTCAGCCGCCCGGCGGAGGGCATAGTCGCACAGGAGGGATAATCATCCACCAGGTCATCTTCGAGGAAGTCGCCCAGACAGGCATTGACCGCATCTACCGCGGTCGGGTCGGCAAGACGATGGACGGCAAGCGGGGGGAGTTTGCGCGGCTCAGCCGGACAACGCAGGCGTGAGACAGGCCGACCTCGGTACGAAGGTGGATGACTTTGACACAGCGGTGATCGGTGTTGAAGGCAATACCCGGTTTGACACAGACGTCCATAACACGGCGCGCAGAACGTCCGGCAGCCAACGCATGATCGATCTGAAACCAGCAGCGGGATTTATTATGAAACCAGGTACCATAATGCTAATGCGGGAAAATGCTCATCACTCGAAGTTTGCCTGTAGGTGCACTCTCACACAAGGCAAGCAAGCGTTCTCCATTGGAGATGGTGTGATGAAGACTATAGGGGCCTAGGATGAGGTTCTCGTTGAGGAACCCTTCGTCAGTCTGACCATGCAGCTCCGAAGCCGCAGGGCGCCCCACTCGGGCGTTGAAATCTCCGAAAACAAACACTTGTTCGGACGCCGGGACGGAGCGGAGCATGCGAGTCAGATCGGCATAGAAGCGGTCTTTGACAGCCTCTTCGGAATGAAAAGTGGGAGCGTAAGCAGAGATGATATCAACAACCCGTCGGTTGAGGACCAGCTTAACTTAACACGCAGCAGCCTCCAAATTCACAAAACGAATCGGCAGCGTGCCAGGCCCTTTGCGTAACAGAGTTCAGGACAATACCAACACCCTGTTCAGCTTTGGTGGCAGACCAGGGCAAGCCCGAAAAAAGAATGAGGTGGTCCCCAAAAGAAATAAATAGAACCTTCGCCTTGCCATCTATGTTCGGATATACAGCAGAGAGAGATTAGCCATACAGAACAAAACGTAGCAGGAGCCTCTGGGTCAGTGCCCTCAGCAGACCCTCCCCATCCACCCGACTGCAAGTAAAACGAACGAACGTTCCACAATCCCCACGTGACCTCTTCACAGCGACGTTTCCACTAACGAGGTGAAGTCAGGCTCTGTCCAGCCTTCATTCGCGGTTGTGCTCGCGCATGGAAACCAGGGTCGGTGTTAAGTGTACGGTCTTGGACATATGAAAAAAACAGTCAGGCTACTGCAGGGTGTCTGACACCCGCACGAGTATATAGAGTGCAGCGCTGGCAGCGCCTCCCGCAGGAGGTACTGCCCCCGCTCTAATCCCTAAACGAGTGTCCCGCGCCCTCCGTTAGCCCTACATCGGGCCCAACAAAACAGAACAAACGAACGCCCCAGTAGGTTATCTTGGCCACCCAGACCCAAGAACCGACCTGTGTCCTAGCGTGGGTCTTTCGAGGAGGTGGAGGTGCGTCTTTGGCCAGGTGATCCCAATCCACCGCCCAGCCAGTTTGGCAGACTCCTCAGCTTCATTGCCTCTTGAGTCAGGCGAATGCTGTGCATTCTGGGCTTCGTTGCTGCCCTGAACCTTCGTGAGACCATCGGATAGCGTTGCCAAGTGTTCTAATTCTACCCACTTCACTTCGCCATGCAGCTGCTTGTCGGATTATTATCTGGATCTCGATTGTCCTGGCCTCCTACCGTGTCCTTGGAGAGGAAGTCGTAGAGCAACGTCTACCGCCGCCAGCGCAGCTCTTGTTCAGGGCTTTTGCGCGAGTAGCGTCTCCTTCAGCAGGACCATAGCGCATATTGATTTGAAGTTTGCCACTCCACCGCCCTGAAGTTCTCTCTCACGTGCCAACGCCAGCTGCTCCTTGGGAGTGACATCCATTGTTGGCCAAGGAAGCGTCGGCTTCATTCTCTGCAGTGGCTGGATGTGGAGAGCCACCGTGGCATTCTCTTTGGGGCGTTTGACCACCTGGTTGAGCTGAGCCACATCTTGATGCCATTATTAGGCTGGATGGTCCTGAGGTATTTGGACGACCCTCCTTGCTTAGCCAGTTTTGAGCTCCACACTTCTCTTCTTCGGTGAGGCGTTGAATCTTCTGAGAGGCACGTCCCTTCTCGAAAACCATTGGCAGCAGGGGCTCCAGCATGAACTTCTCAAACTTCTGCCGTTGAACGCTGTGTAGGTTCACATGCTTTCCAAAGGTGTACACCCTAGCCATTTTGTCGTGGTGGTCTTGATGCCCACCTCAATAGCGTTGGGTCAAATGCCTTCGTCTGACAAGGTGCCCAATATGTTTTTGGATGGGCGCAAACCCGCTTCTGTTGGAGTATCGATCCTTAGCTTGTGCCTGTCTCTCCCACAAACTTCTCAAGTCTTAGTTATTAGTTCTCCTCCTCCAAGTCTGGGGGTGACCGAAGATGGTCCAACTTCCTTCGGTCCTCTTCAAAACCTTTCTCCTCTGTTCTCCCCGCGTTCGGTAGTTTGGTGGCTTGGCACCTGACCCTAACCCTTGCATGGCTCATCACTCATGTTGCTTGAGGCTTCAGCTACAGTGAAGTGCCTGGGGGGCATCTTGGTTGCTGCAAGCTTTGTGAAACACCGCCCGCCCCACCCCTGTTACCCAACACAGGGTTCCCGAGCAGCCCCCGCATCTTTTCCAGCCGCGTGCACCCATGGCCTCGCAGTGCATACGGCCCCTTAGAATGGAGCCCGCAGTGGGGTAGGATTGGGATCAACAGTTCTCCGAACATCGTGCTGGGTTCCACAGCGTCTCAGGTGAAGATGGTGCAGTCTGCCTGTGCCTGGTTGGCGTTGCAAGTGGAATGGAAATACTTGGAGGCTGTCTGTGTGGACTTGCCAGGTCTCTTTACGTTGACAGCCATGGCCGCGCTCATGCCACCTACCAGGCGGAATGTTCTAGTTTGGCAGTCACTATGCTTGGGGGAACCTTTTCTTTGTATTTTTTCAAGGCGCATCAAAAAGCTCATTTCCAGTAGTATTTTGCTTTGGCTTCTGCTTTTGCTTTTGCTTTCGCTTCTGTGTGGAGTTGATGTGCTTGATCCCTGATCCTGCCTTGCCCTGCGGCCATTTCACACACCCTCAATACGCGCGTGGAAGGTTTGCCCTCCGCCACTCCGCGGTTCTTCAGTGGTAGTGGAGCCGGAATGACGATTCTGGACTTCGTCTTTGTGTTGGCGAAGGCTGCCTTCACTTTCAAGTACTTGTTTGCTTAGGGTCTTAGAGCCCCAGGTCTGATGTCACTTTGCTGGCTTGGTCTTTGACCTCTTCTTCCGCTACTCTTTCGTTGGTCTTTGGTACCAACTCTCACTAGGTCTTTATCTTGAACATGTTGGACATTGACCTCTTCTTAGGCTACCAGATTGACTGGGATTAATAGCTTGCCACGACGCAACGGTCTCAAAGGACATGCGCTGTCCTCACGAACTACCAGCTCATGCAGCTGCCCGACGTGCTCTGGCAGAAGTTGATGGAAAAAATGAATTCGAGCTTTGCGAGCCCGACCATGCAGGCCCAGAGAAGACCGCAACTTGCATGAGGATGAGCCGGGTGAGCCAGTCTGCATGTGGCGACGAAGAAAGCATGGCTATTTAGCCAAGGTTGGACCCTGTTTTGAGGCCTTTCAACGTGGATACAATGTGGCGCCCCTTGACGAGTGAATCAATTGTGGAAATGCGACAAGAGCCAAGATGGGTAACCTTGAGCAGCAGGGACTTGAGGCTATTCAAAAAAATTGCTTCGAACCAAACAATGACTTCGATATGACAGTGAGAGGCTTGGCTTCATCAATGTGGAGAAGGAGGGAGAACCTGACCTCACCTGAATGAAGATGGCCAGCCAGAAAATTCAGATCAAGATATCCATCAAAAAGTACCTCCAACACCTCGAGGACGCCCTGAAGCGCCAGTTCACTGGCGCCCAACTCCAATGCCAACGACGCCCAAAGCTCCTTCTACCTCCGAAACTGGTGATGACCCAGCCAACCTGACGCACCAAGACCTCAAGTCATGAGAGAGGGAGGGAGGGAGGGAGGAAGAGTCATTGTCGCCAACGATGATGATCCACCGAGCAATTATGTAGAAGAAGATTACAGAAGGGTGCTGCGCTCGACCCAATTCCAAGCCCACGTATTCTTTGCCCGAAGCCGTGCTGACATCTTTGGCTTTGACGCCAAACACTGTACCTACTTTTATGAGGCCCCCAGGACCAAGCCCAGAATTGTTTACTGCGTCTGATGTGGAAGCCAACAATGGCAGCAATAGGTACGACTTTATTGCTTGGCGAATTGCGCAGGAATCTGGACGGCGATGAAGAGTTCGCCCCAGAGATGACAGTTCGCAAGATCTACCAGAAACTTCCCAATGGCGCCAGATCGAAGCGTCAGGGTCATCGTGGCCCAGCAATTCGTACACAGCTAACAGAAAAAAAAGCACCGCCACTTGCTGCTGAAGATGCCCAGCTGATAGGAGCCCAATAGAAGCTTGTGGTCGTGCCGTCAACTGTGGCCACATCGAAGAGCATGCCCTTAAGGCAAATTTCCCGGTGGTGTCAATGCCGGAAAATTTGCCTGAACAGGAAAATAGGATTTTCAGCGTCGATGGAAAGCCAAAGCTTGGCGGGTATACTCCGGCCCGCTGGAGCAAATTTGAGCTTGTCAGCAGTGGGTTTGGCCGGTCCGACGAAGCCAGACCCTCCTTGCCACGACGCCTCAATTGGAATTCCTGGCCAGCCTCAGGCCGCTATGATCAGAGTGCCCGCGGCAGTGTATGGTTTTGTTATTTGGCAGAGGACAGTGAGGCGTTTTGGAGCTGGGACACTGGAAGCCTCCTCGACCCAGCAGAAGAAGTTTCAAGAGAACTGCAAGTTCCTCATGGCTGATGTCGTGCTGCTAGATGTGAAAACCTCCGCCGGCCGTCGCTAATTGAGGACAAAGCTGAAGTTTGATTTTGCAAACGGCGCAAAGTTGATGGAGACAGTGCTGAAAACATTGGTCGGACACTCGCTCGGTCCCCGCTCCTTCTGCTTCTAAAGCGCCCGGAACATTCCACACAAGTTACAATTTGCAGGAAAAAGATCCAACAAAAGACCTTCACCCATCCATGGGTTGCAAGTTTGTTGAGTAAGGCCCTCACTAGGTCGTTCTGTAGCTGCTTCAAGTACAGATTTCAATGTCGCTCTTGCGCCGCTGAAGACCCATTGCCCTCCAAACATTCCGCCCTAGGCCCGGGCCCTGAGAGGAGAAAAACGCCGAAGCCGGCAATTATTGTGTGCGTCGTCGCGTTGTACGCGCACGTTCTTTCCACCCCTTACAAGGGCTCCGCAGGACAGAGGGGGAGGAAGTGAAGGCGTCGTCAAAGAGCCATGGATATAGAGTATAGATGTTGCTCACCTAAAGGAACGCTACACTGGAATGGCCCTGCTTCAGTTCGGCCACAGTTTCGCTCGCCATGGTGACGCGCTGCCTGTGGAGAGGAGAGGGAATGGGAGAGGGAGAGGAAGAAGGGCGAGGGGAAGAGCGTAGAGAGGAGAGGGGGAAGAGGAGGAGAACGCAGGGACCTTAGGGCTTCTTTGGGTTTGGCTCAAATTTTTTGTTTTTAGGATGTCATTGGGTTTGGCCTTGGGGTTTCACTTCTTTAGGTTTTCTTTGGGGTCGGTTATGGTGGGTTTCGGACCTTGGTTCTTTCGTTTTCTCGGATTTCTTCCTGTAAGTTTTACCCGCGGATGGCTCACAAAATGTATGCAACATTGGAGTAGGTCCTTCCTGAACAAACGAACAGTTCCTTCCTCTTCTAAATTCTTAACGTCGGGTTCCAAAAGGTATGCTATATGGCTACATCAGAACGTCTCCTCCCTCTTCTAAATTCTCCCTGTACCGGTTCGCAAGAGGTACGCTACGTTGCAACAGCTCCTGTCTCCCGTAAAATTGTCCTTCGCGTGGCTCACAAGAGGTTATAATTATGCTACATTGGATCGAGCCCCTCGCAGAAGACATGCTACGTTGGAATGGCCCCTTCTCTACCAGCGGACGGCTCACAAAAGACCCATCGGGAATCGGTCCTGTAAAATTTGCCGTCGTGCTCACGCACAGAAGGCGCGCTACAGTGGAACGGCCCCTTCCTCTTCAAAAATTTGTCCTCAGGTGGAAGGCATGCCCCTGCCTGCCAATTTTATTCGCCGATGGTGGGTCGTGGCGTGCGCAAGTTGTGCAAGTGAGATGCGCTCACGAGTGTCCGGGAGAGGGAGATTGACTTGGGCCTGGCGCGCTTCAGTGTTTGCTCAATGGCAACCCACGTCAAAAACGATCCGTCGTGCGCAAGAAGTATTATTCTGATCCCGGGTTCCTGGTATATTTGAGAAACATAGTTGACAAGCAAAGGAATAGCAAAGTGAAGGGTGCAGGTGGGGTGATGCCAAGTTAGGCTCAAGCACCTCTACCCTAGTTTGAATGCTGGTGTTTCTTGTTTGGAGCTGCGGGTGGCGTAGACGGGCTGCGGCCTGGATGGCAGACGCGCGAGGGCGGACTGATGCACGAGCGCCGGAGAAGTTCATCGAGCAACCCCAAACCCAGGCCCCAGCTGACCGCAGCGGAGTGGACGGAAGAGTCAAATGGAAGCCCTCTGATGCTGCATCACATGAGTGCAAGGGGGCGTTGGTTTAACGTGATGAGTCAAGAGAGGGAATGGCCGGCTCCGAGTGCTCTGCCGGAGGCGCCCGCGCATAGGAAGTCGCCCCGCGACTTGAGACAGGCTGCGCAAGAGATTTGAGGGCTCGGCGAAGTTCGAAGGGGACGGTGGCCGTAGTGGGCCCCAAAACTCATGCAAGATGGACCGGGGCCATGCGGCGCAGAGGATTCACAAAGAGTTCTGAAGTAGATGGTTGAGGAGCTAGCCTCTAAGAAGTGTGACAGACACCATGCCATGTGTCGGGCGACATCTCCCGGTCCTGGAGGTGAGGTGCAGGGACCAGGGCGAAGTTGACGCGTTCGTTGACATTCGTTGATTACTTTGGAGAAGCTTTTGTTTTGTGTTTCATGTGTTCGCCAGCCTTCCTTTTGCAGCGCACTCCGAGCCAATCAAGCAAGATATGCACATTTTGCGAGCACGGCGCAAACAATTGTAAATTTAATTATCAAAGTACACATTCCAACAAATGCCAGAAAAAATGGGACGCACTTCTATCTGAACGTCAAATTTCAGGCTGGCAGCGAGTTGCGCCTTTGGCATCTGATTCGTGTAGACGAGGACAGCTTTGGACATGTTTCCGATGTTTCACAAGCGTAATTAAGGCTGTGAGGGAAAGCAGAAGGTCCGAAGAATGCCTTTCTTCCTGTGAGACACCTCCAAGCACCACAACGACGAAACTCAGCGAGCGCTTTATGGTGGGGGTCCTCTCTCACGAACACGCAAGCAAGAGGTATTGGACACCTCCATGAAAATTCAGGCCGATGCACGTGCCAACTATCAAACAAGTGACCTTTTGTCCAATGGTTTTTGTTTTGCAGGAACTGCTTTGAAACAGATTTGGCAGTGAACTTGCTACTGCTTATACCAGAACTTTGAGATTGTATGAGGTTGGAACTGCTGTGCTATGCATCGACCAAGCTTCAGAGGTGGCACGTGGAGTTCCAATTGAAATGGTTTCTTCTTGTGTATTTTATTTGTTGCACGGAACCATCGCGCAGCAACCTACAGAAATCTTGACCCTTTTTTTGAGGTAGGACGTTGTTCCGTCCTCGTCGCACCGCTGTCCGAAAAGTTCACTTCTAACGGAAGCACTCTAAACCACGGGAAACACGCTAAACCACGACTGCTGTGGAAGTGTGTCTGAGCCAAGCTTGAACACGTTTAGAAAACTTTTTTGCTAGTAGGAATTTTTGATTGGCTGAGTCTGACACCAGGGATTTTAAAGGTGGTCTAAAGATCAATGAAGGATCATCATGTGGCACAGCGTGTTGTTGTGACATCATCATGATGCTGGGCCAAGACTCTTCTTGATGCCATGGGTGCGACACTTGCCCGACGAGAAGAAGTGAGGCTGCTGGCAGAGGGCAGCTTTCCTCTCCAAGATCGAGCGGAAAGGCCTGGAGCTTCACAGGATCGGACAGATCCCAATTCCAGGGCAATTCACCTGGATTTGTCCAAAATGTCAAACGTATCAATCAGTTTCAAGACTCCAGAATCAAGGGAAAGGATGTTTTTTGGCTGAAGGAGTATACCCACCTTTCAAGCATCAAACTCCTGCACATGCATTGCAAGACTGGCTGAGCTTTCATGCTTGAAAGGCCGGAGCCAAGCGAAGAGCTTTGCGCAGTATGCTTGAGCGAGCTAAGCCGAGCCAGATGCTTTCAGCTAGTCCTTTGGCAAAAACATGCAGAAACAAATGCAGAATACCAGCAAACACGAAGAAACTGAACCAGATGAGCTAAGGCCGGTCGTGCAATATACTCTTTTCATTGAGCAATGGCAGTGGCTGAATAACAATCATTATGTTAATTGTGTTGATTAAGATTGCATCTCATCATCTCAAGGACTGCGGCCACAAGTACCATTCGCTTTGCTTGGCATCTTCATTTCAGATCCAGCAGCTTTGCCCTTTGTGTCGTGCGGGGGTCAGTGATGCCACCTGTACGGAGGTGGTCCGGAGCTGAGTCTCAGCTGGGCAGCCAAGCTGTTGTATACTAATGAATGCCACCCATGTTGGGTTCTTCCCAAAGGCTTTTGCAGGCAATTTCTGCAGCATTGACGTGAGACGATGGTTTTGTGTGTGCCCACGAAATCTTTATCCTTTGAGCATGCGCTGACCATTGCGACTGCCACGAAAAGTGATTACCAAGTCCAAAAATGTTCACGGCACCACAACGAGAGCGCAGTCGCGAACGCCCGCACGAACCCACCAGGTTTAATGAAGTTTAGACATGACTTATCTATCCAATGTCTTGGGCACGCTCACGGTTAGAACTCAAACTGCACCAGCCCTTCAACTCATGTTTGCCTGTAGCGCCTTGGATTTACCGAAACAGCCTTGAGAGGAAGCGGCAAGGAGAACCTCGATACAAGGAATGCAGTATGTTATGGAAGCCGTGTGCCCCTATTTCAGCAAAGCATTTTACATAATCACAGCGGTTTCTAGCTCTGGTAAGGGCGAAGGGCAACATTTTTTTGCACAATAGGAACATATTAACACATAGGAGCCTACGCTCCTTGAGCTCTCGATTGATCAAACTTTCCGAGGCCCGCAGTCTTTTTGTGGGGGCTGGGCCACATGGGGCTCGATTTGCTGCAGAGCTCTTGACAGAGCTGGGAGCGCGGCAGCGGACTGTGGATGCAGAGTTGAGCTCCGAGGAGACGATCAGCGCAATCCAAAGAGCAGCCAAGACAGGCTCACTGAGAAACTGAGGAGAAAAAGTGAGCAACTGCAGAAGACTGTGCACAGGTGATGATTCCAAGATTCCCATGATTGCTGCTTTGCTGCAGCCAGAAGAGAGTGGATTCTCAGGACAACGAAAGGATGTGCAACGAAGTTTGTAAGATGCAGGTGCTACATAAACCATTTTGGACATGGAATTGCTGCGCTGCTATTCTGCAAGTTCTTAACATGCAGGAGACACGCAGGTGGAGCTCCGCTTGGTTGCAGTGCAAGCTTTACGAAACTTGGTGCCAGCTTTCCCTGGAGGGTGGCCAGGCAGGACCAAGATTCAATTTAAGCCATTTAAGCTGAATGATACTATAGCGTGATCACAACAGACCTTGCGAGGTTGGCAGGCAGTTCGGGGCCTTTTGCAGAAGGTAGCGCTGGAAGATGTTGCAGTTGAGGAATTGCGATTGTGCTCCATTCAGGCTCTGAAGGAGGTTTCTTTGAGGCATTTTCTACTCTGTACTCGGTTTGGTTGTGGGATTAAACATTGGAGCGCCGCGAACTAATTCCCAGGTCCTGACTGAGCTACGACGACTGTTTGAGGTCAGTCGTCGTCGATTGAGAGTGGCAGTTGAGGTCAGTCGTCGAGACGCTCATGATGAAGCCCTGTCGAAGCCTTGGCGAGCAACTTGTGTTAGGTTTTACCCCATGTTGCGAAGGGCCAAGCAAAAGGGACAATGTACTGTATTTCAGGTTCCAAGGTTCCCAGTTCCGACTAGAGGTTGGGTGAAGCTTTGCCGTGCTTAAAGGTTCCGAATTGCAAGACATTTACTATTCTTGAAGTCTTGAGGCAAGACCCCGACGTTCACCTTCAAATTTTAAGTTTTTGTCCCACACAGGCCGATTTTGTATGACATTCGCCCGTTGTCATAGTCTTGCCAGAGTTGTCAACAATCCTTTCTTGCACTGACTTCCCAGGCCACAGTGCCTGTCGAGATATGCTTCATTCTGCTGTCCAAATTCGCAAGTTACTGCATTAGCTTTGCCAAACGGTTGGACTTAGGTCCGTTGCCTTCAACATCCTGCAGGAGTAAAATAGAAAGTCCAGCAGTTAAGATCGAAACAAAGCCGTAAGAGAAGCTGCATTGCAGAATTTGCACGGAAGTTCTCACATTGTTTACGGGTGTATATATATATATTTATATACATAATCATGTATGCCATGAGAAATGACGAGCGCAACATTTCAATCTTTCGTGCCAAGAGACGCAACGTGGTTTTGGTTTAACCGTGAAGCCCACTGTAGCATATGGGTTGTTGTGACTTTATTTAGTGAAGAGCAATAGAGCGGGTAGTGACAGATCACCTCAGAAATTCTAAATGGCCCTTGGATTGAAAGTGTGAGCTGTACTTCCCACAACTGACAACTGTTTGGCATGGCATGAGGTTGTATACCTTGTCATGGCGTCGTGTGTTGTGAGTTGTGAGCTGGAAGTTCCACCCCAGCGATACCGACCTTTACCCGGACTATGGAGGTTAATATAGGTTAATTGCCTTTAACTTAACCCTACCTTCTACCTTATATATCCTTCACTCTGGCATTCAGTAGGCTGTGCTATTCTGGACCTTTGCAGGACACTACGGCCGGACGGGAACTGCGTCTCGCTGCTGGCAGCATCCTACAGGCAATTTTGTTGCGTTGCTTGCGTCTCTCAAGCAAGTCTTTGTGTCCACTAGATGTGGCGAGTGCAAGAGTACTTCTTGTACAGATTGAAAAGACTTGGAAAGACTTCTTCAAGCAAGAGCTTTGAGAGAGTGCACCAGCTGGAGTTGCAGAATTGCCTACCACGTGAATCTATCACTATGAGGGGGCCCCCTGTTGCGTGGGTTTGTGTGGGTATGAGCAATTGCAAATATAATGCGTCCACAGGTACAAGGCCAGGTTGAAGCTGATGCAATGATAAACAGAGCAGCTCCAGGTTATTCAGTAGATCATTGTGTAGGTGACCCGAAATCTACGGACTCTGCGCGCAAACCAACTTCCCAAAGCCAGTGAAACACTTTGGCGGCGTTCATGGCTGCTCGTGGATGCATTTTGCAATAGTACGAACGGGCTCCATGGGTCCATGTGCATGTTTTGTCCTGTTTCAGTTGACAATCCCACGATGCAGCCCAGCCAACGGGTGCTGGTGGAAGACGCTAGCGTGCACGGCCTTCTAATTTCATGAGCAGGTTTTGAAGCGATGGAGCAAATCGTTTGGATCATGGCGTTGGTGTCCTTGATGCTACGTGTCATAGTATGTCATAGTGGTGATGTTGCTCCGGGCAATCAGCGGAAATTCCTGGGACTAATTGAGGTGCTCATTGCCAGGAAGAGATGGGCGCCGTCCAGGCAATGGGCAGATGAGAGCAAAGGATTGATTTGAACAGGTGGAACAGGCCGCGAGTCATACGTGTGATCGAGTACGTGCGCTGAGAAGTGAACAGAACGGATTGTGTGCGCAGTCGCGTTTTCAATGGAGTGCCCGTGCAAAGGCAGGGTGTGAAGTTGCGCTCGTGACGGTGCCTACCCCGATGGGAAGCGCGAGCGAGCATCTTAAAAGAATGTGTCCATTCGTCACGAAAAGCTTGTAGAATTGGCTGTGATCACTGATCACTCCAAACATGTCAAGGTTCAGTGAACTTGTTGCCGGTTTGCAGCCAGCTGGCCACGAAACAATTTCCAAGCAACCTGGGCTTCCCCTTGGAAACTCCACGTCCTCTTCTCTGTCCTCCTTCTACATCCTCATCATCCTCATCTACAGCCGGGAGGCAAAGACCGTCAAAGGTTTGACGGTGTCTCGGTCTAGTTGTGTTTTGATCATTTTGTGATAATACTTTTGGAATCTTTTGGATATAGTCACTTGGCATTTTTCAGGGGTACTCTGGTACCGACACCTAATCGTCAATTCAATTTTCCTCATGCACTGTGCAATTTGGGAGGTGGAAAATTGCCGCTCTAAATTGCTCAGCGCGATGGTAAGGAAGTTGTTGCCCGCTGCGCTTCGTGCGCCGCGCACGGTTTGGCAAAGTGCATGCGTGACTTGTGCGGATAGTTGTGCATGACGCGAGGCCAACAGGTTGCTGGTGTGCTGGTGTGAACGACTGTTGCTGTTGTGCTGCACTTTGTGCGTGTTTATGTGGGGGCACACGATTGACACCTTGGAGATCACTCTGCCAAGCAGGGTGAAGCGATTAGCATATAGACTAGCGGTG